TCATACCTCAAATGGAATAAACACATTCCTTTCAGCAGGAGACACTTGTACACAGTTCAACTTTGGAAACTTAATTTTTTTTCCATATTGGTTCTTGAAGTAGTTTTCAATGGTGCAGTAAACTGTGTTCCCAGTATTCTCATCTTTTAAAGGAAATGTTTGTTTCTCAGCAGAATGTTCTGAAACATCTATAATCTTGTAAGTGCGAGGGATATTGGAGTGTGTAACTTGCACCTGAAATATAAAAGTTACTTTAATTGGTGAGGTTTTGCAGAGAGGTAGAGTTATATGGTTTGGGCGTGTGGAGAGAATGGAGAAACCATTTGAGTCAAGGGATGCAGGAGTTTGAATATGGAGGGGAGGAGAACAAGGAATAACAAACAGAGGATGTGAGAAATGTCAAAGATATTAATCTGACAAAAGAGGAATGAAGACACAATGCACCTTGTTAAGTTGCCTACAGATAATCACAGCTAACTTATATAAGCACAATAAATGGTTGTAAAACATTAATGATGATGTGGATGATGATTAAAACATTATACAATCACCCACAAAAGTCCTGTCACCTCTCCTCTTGAAACACAAACCCCGACGTTTACTCATGAATCCAAAGCATTTTTGGACAGAATAATGCATCAGTTTCTACTGCTTCAGGTTCACGAGTCTAAATCTCTTGGGTTGTAACTAATTCCATAAGAAAGTGAGCCTTGCACAAGTAATTCCAAATCATTAAATGCTGGACTGTGTTCTCTATGACTCTTACCACATTCATTAACTCTACAAATTTTATTCCAAAAAGAAAAGCTACCAGCTTTGTACGGTCTTTTATATACAGGGTGTCTATAATTTATTCACCTGATTATGAAGCTCAATAATACCGAAATTTTCCCTGATAATTTTAGATAACTCAGCATTTCCCAAATTATTTTATAATAAATTCCAAGACCATACACATGCCGAATTATACTGTTTAAATTCCGAGATATTAAATGCCGAGTTATAAAGATTTTGTGGTCCCTCGGTTAACAAATGGTTCGATTAACGAAATTTTGGTTAACGAATTACCGCCCATAAGGATCTTTAATTTGGTTAACGAACAAATCTTCAATTAACGAAGTCCTTAAGAACAACACGTTTTGTTGTGAGCATCAGTTGATGGGCTAGTCTGCCAATTCAATAATCTCTTCTATGTTTACATTCGTTTCCAGTGGAGTAAATATCAAGAAAGTTGTGCTCTTTAATATTTTTGCATTTTTTATATTAAAATTATTAGTCATTTTAAAATTTAGTCAACATATTGATAATATATGCAGTACAGGGAACTAGTGTTTTGTGCGCCCATCAGCCGCTTGACTCAGCCACTAGGCGTCAGTTTGGCTTTGTTGACAGTGGAGTGAACATCTATTTTGTTGGTGTCTTGAATATTTTTGCATTTTTACATTGAAATTATTGATCATTCTGAAATTTAGTTAACTCATTGATAATATATAGCGCAGTGCAGTGTTGATTTAAATAAAATAATTTTGAATTACACCTAGTGAACTTATAATTTTATTGGTGAAATGATTGCATCAAGCATGGGTCCCTGAAAGATGATTTCTCCTCCATCCCCACTTACTTCTCTTCTCCCTTCTCATCCACCCCCACTTCTAATTCCCATCATCATCATCCAGGAACCTTCTACATACACACCTCAAAGTAAGTGTACTTTACTGCATTTTTTTTTTACTTTGTATGCACATTTCGGTGAGCTGGAACCAATTACCCAATATCCCATTGAAACAATGGATTCGGTTAACGAAATTTTCGGTTGACGAATGACCCTCTGGAACGAATTGTGTTCGTTAACCAAGGGACCACCGTATTTGCTTCTAATATACATAAGACTGCACTTACCCTAATATTTCTTAGTTCTTGCAAAAGTTTTGATCGTTTAAATGGCTCTAATGGTCTATGAAAATCATCTTCCCTAAAATTCATGAAGTCTTGAATAAAGTTCAGAAGAGGTTGTTCTTTATAGAATGCTGTGTGTGCAACTAAAAATAGAGATAAAATGTTTTAATAACAAGCAAACTAAGCGATTTAGTAGATTTAGAGCTAATGAAATTTTATAATCAATCAATAATTTCATATTTTCTGACTACTGTATAAAGAAATACATGATATTCAGTAATTACAAAACTAAATCTCAAGCAAATGTGCTATATATCAACAAGACTGGCACATTACAAGACAAACATGTATATACTCGTACAATCATACCATCAATATTCAGTAAGAGAGATCCATCCTTCCAAGATGCAGGCCTCATCGACCCAAAAAAACCAGTCACACCTTCCTTGCCACATCCAATTGGATATGGCGTTCCAAACTCTCCTCCTGCCGAGTAGAAGTTACGACGACCAACCAATTCATACTTAATGGCCCGATAATGACGAAACATTACTTCAACCATCTGTAAAATACTCAAGAAAACAAACAAGATAAAGTTAATATCTAAATTAACCCAAATTGTTAAAATTATATACTGTATATCAGGATTCATATACAGTATACCATTACTGGGCCAGTGACATCCATCTCCATCAAAAATTTATCTTGACAGTTTCTTGTAATGTGTTATACATATCAGTTTTACTGTACTGTACTGTATAGGCTGTCCTCACTACATATTTTCCATTAATACCCATATGTATTTTCATAAATACATATGACTGATACACATTTTTTCCTGTCGTGTACATTTCAGAAGCCTTACCCTAATCTACTTTGGATCTCATGGCTCAACCAAACAAGGTTCACTACACACGTCCTAATATTTTACCAACAGGTCAGGGACTTGTCCTTATATTGAGTAGCTAGTGTTTTGGGTAACTTTTATCTTGTGCTTTGTTATATAAACGAAAAACAATAATATAGGCATTTTTTCTTTTTCCATCATTGGAAGATACTGACAATGACACAGACACCTGTCAGTAGTGTGAGACAGAAAAAATCTGAACACATTAGAAATGATGGTCCCTACTCAAAATAACCTTTTGATTGCTTTTGTCAGCTACCCTTGGTCAAACTGCATAAATATTATTAGATCCCTGATAATTAAGTTTTCATTGCACTCAACATATTTCACCTGAAAAAGGTCTTTTTTTTATTAAAATTAATTTCAGTATACCATTTTGGGACCATGGATCATAACCCATTTTCTACATAGATGCCACTGATTTATTATTGTTAATATTTACAAATTTGTAGGGTCTGTCAAAATCTAACCATGTAGATTAGGCAAAAACAAAAAATAAGGGCGGATCCAGTTTTGTGTGGGGGGAACATGGCGAACACAGCAAGCTCACCCGGCTGGAGGGTTTTTTGGGGATAATGTAAGCCCCCCCCCACCGATTTTGTTTTTTAAATCTGACCAATGTCATGGGCATTTTGAAGCCATTTTGAAACCATGTTCACTTGATATTAGGAAATATTCTGAGGTCAATAGTACAAGTAATTACATTTTACTATACAAAAATGCCTGAGTACAGTACTGTGTTAAAGAATAAGTATTCAAATTTTCTGATGAAAAGGGGGGTCCAGACCCCCAGGACCCCCCCCTGGATCCACCCCTGAAAAAATATATAAAAACTAGGTAACTTATATTAACCTGAAATATGTTTAATGGAAGTGTCTTCTGTTCACGAGCAGAGCAGTTAAGTGCCTCCGTAAGTTCCTGGAGGTTGGCACGATGTCTCACCATTAGTGAAATTTTGTATTGTGTCCTCTTGCCATCTGATTCCTCAAGGTCAATCTTTGGTGAAAAACCAAACAACAGATAAATTAGAATGACAAAGCCTCTGTGCCTGGGTGTGTTCATAAAATTTTGGACATATATGGAAAATTACAGAGTTTAGATATTATTAAAACTCAAGGGTATATGAATGATAGAAGTCGAACTGTCACAAACAATTTTAATAGCAAAACATTACGAATTATGAGCGATTTTGAATATGAGGGATACACTTGATTGATTGTTTGTGGTAATTTCATCCCTTGCAAAGCAACAGCGTGGGTAATATGTCGTTGAATTTAAAATAAAAGCTTAAGACTAATATCAAGCATTGCAAGGTAAGAAACATAAATAATAAACAGTAGCATAAAACTTTTGTAAAAAACATTTAAACGTTAATAGATGAAACTCAAAGCTTGTGCAGAACACCAGCTTCCTCCAGGAAGGAAAGGACGTCCCCTCCCATGCTACTCACTCCCTCCCCCAGCACCAAAGACAGATCGTAAGACTCATCTTCCCCCTGGCACTGGGAGAGATGCTTCCGACGAAAGATCTCCGAGGCTGGGGCACTCCACCAGGAGGTGTTGAACAGTCAATGGGACGGGGGCACCCTCTCCATTAAAAAAACCATGAGTCCGTCGTGTGTGGCCAATGCAGAAGTAGGCCAACGCAGTCTCCCAGTGGTGCAATGGTCCCTAATGTCCCCAGGCATCCAAAGCAGGGTGGATATCGTCGAGGTTGTTTGCTCCGACAGCATCCTACCTGCATTGCCAACTCGAGCGGATGGATGGGAGCTCTTATTACTGGCTTCATATCAGAGGCAGGTAGAGAGGAATGATGTGCCACAGGGCGAGAAGCAGCTGCTTTCGACACAGACTCACCACGGGGGTAAGAATTATGGTGTTTTTACTGTACATTATGTTTTATATCCTGCTGTTATAATGATTAAAATTTCATACAGAACGTGAAAAACTAGATAAATAAAAGAAATCAATAGCAGATAGTCAAAATCATAGTGTAAATAAAAAAAATTTCCCCAGATTTGGTGTGGATCGTGGAAGTAGGTGGGGGTTCAGTGTTGGGATCACAGTCAAGCCATGAGCTGCGTGAGTTATTTTTCAATTTGCCTTTTCGGGTAAATAATTTTTTTCATACTATTACATGCAATTTACGTCCCCAGAAATGTTGGGAAGGATAGCGCCACAGTGTTGGTACGCATCTCAGTCCCCCAGGCTGTGAGCTGCATTATTGTGACACTTAAGTATTCCTTGTACCAAAGACTTTTCCAGCATGCACACCTTCATAACCTACTGTGTATTTACATACTATATAGCAGTTTAGGTCACAACTTACTGAAATGCAATTTTGGATTCATCATGCATGTACAGAGCCTATAACTGTAATAAATTTCTGAACAATTGGAGAAGGAAAAATATTGAGACCGTGTGATCTTCTGGCATGAAAGCTCAATGTTTTAACCTCTCTTCAAAGAATCTTTACTCAAACCGATTGCTAGCAACACACATTATATCATTAGATATTTCAAAATCACATTTCTACATATTTAATAAATACTCGCCTCATAAGTACTCTGGCAATCAGGAGTTTGAAGAGCAGGGATGACACCCACACTGTATGCATTCCTTTCTGAGTCATAAGCAAGTGGGTAATTCTTGAAATCCTTTTCATATATCATCTTCATTTTTTCAAATATCTCCCTTAAAAAAATACAAAAGAATGAATAATATTTAAGGTGATGTTCAGATGACAAACAAATAATTTATAGAGGGTAATATGCAGTACAGTACAGTACAGTAAACCCTTGCCATTAGGGAGAAATAGGTTACAAGAAAGGGCACGAATAGGCAAAACCGCTAATAGCAACTTATACTACTTAAGTGCACTACTGTATACAGTAAGTCCTCGCTTAATGTCGGGATTACGTTCCTGAAAACACGACGTTATACAAAACAATGTTAAGCTTATCAATTTTCCACATAAGAAATAGATAAAATGCGGGAGTTACATTCCTGAGCCTCCCTTTGCCCCATGAAATACATTACATATACAGAAAATCACTGCCATTTCTATAGAAAATAGTGCATGCATATACAGCTACTAAGTTTGTATTGCTTTATCCTCTTCACCACTGATCGGCTCATTAGCCGCTTAAGATATGGGTCACGTTTCTGTTATGCACTGTTGGCAAGTACTGGGCATGCACCGGCTCCTGAATGTACTTGAACCTGCTCCAGTGTTGGTTAAGTCTGGTCTTAAAAGAGCTCACACCCGGTGCCGTCACAACACTTTCTGACAGATTGTTCCAAGAGTTCACAATTCTCACTCCGAAAAAGTTTGCCCTCACAGTTTTCTGGACCTGCGGCTTCTTCAGCCTCGAGCTGTGACCCCTTGTGGGGCGAGCATCCGCCAGCTCCAGGTAAGGACACTCGACTTAGTATTACATGAATGGTCACAAGTTGTTGCCCTGGGCCTAGACCTTCCACACACTCAAACCTTTCTAGTTTTCTTTTTTATCTTCTCAGTTATTCTCTGATCATATTTCCTCATTTTCATTGAATCGTTTACATAAGGAGTTGTCAGACTTATAATTGAATAAGTTTCCCTCACCCTCTTCCTTCTCCCATTCTCTCGTTTTTTTCATCCCTTCCTCCTTTTCTTTCTCAAGTTGATTCCCCGCATCTAGATCAAAGAAAGCGTTGCAATAATCATTTTCATCTGTCACGCCCCGTTTAACGTTGTCCTTATGCTGCACGCCTCCTTCCATAACCCCTGGTGGCAGCTGGAGTTGGGGCTTCCCTTGGGATGTGGAAAGAGGCGGTGGCACACAGGGAGGAGGCAAAGAAGGACGTGAAGGCGGATTACACGACCTTGGAAGTCCTCCACTCGTGTTACCCATATGGATGGAGCACGAGGAAGAACCTGCTGATGAGTGGTATTTTACGGACGTCTCGTTGGTGTTCTGCTGGAGAGAGAAGCGGTTTTTTGCTCCAGCCTGTTGTCGCTTCTTGAGGCAGAAGCCGAGACATACAACGAGGAGACTCATCAGCAGCACCGACACAATAATCGCAACCCACAAGAAGTTGAAGTCTTCCTCATCATCACGTGTTGAGGGACTCACCGATGGGCGGAGGTGGTAGAGCAAGTTTGCGGTGGACTCAGATGGTGGGAGGGGAGGAGTATGTTGGGAGAGGAGGAGGAGGGTAGCAATTCACTGAGACCCGGCGGGTGGCTCCTCCTCCCTCTCAAAACGGTTTAAAACCTCAATTTTCGTTAAGCGGCACAGCGTTATACGAGGACTTACTGTACCTATACCAAACAACTGACCAGCCACGGCAGCACTTATCCCCTCTTTTAAGTTATCTAATAGTAAAATTTTCTTTGTCAGGGTCATCACTGACTTCTGCCTTTTACATTTCACTCCACTAGCATTGACGCTAGGCAGTCTTTTAGGGGCCATTTCACACAGAAACACTAAAGTTTTGAGAATATAACACAAGATGCTGCATGGGTTAACTTGTTGTGCTGCGGAAAAGGCTTGCAAGATAGCCACCATCTGCTTACCGCGAATCGTCGAAATCACGAATCACAAACTCGTTAAATTAGGGGTGCAGGTGGGTAGAGCGGTACCGCTCTTGCCTCGCAAGCGAGATGTCGCAGGTTCGATTCCCAGGCCGGTGGAAAGATGTTCAGACACACTTCCCAGCCTCCCTTGGTCCCCGTTCACCTAGCAGCAAAGTAGGTACCTGCCGTAAATCGAAAGTTGCGAATTCGTATTCAGGAAAAGTTGTTGGAGCTTCCAATAACTTGCTTAGACATAAACCATCGACTCTTCAGGCTTCTACGCCCTTAACTCACGAGACATAAAGGCAAGCGCGAACTTAGCACGCTTCCCCGTTGGGCGCTGTAAACACTTCTGCGCTTCACCTTACACAAGGACGTAGGGGGTTGCAAAAAAAAATGGTGAACGGCAAAGGTGTACCGTATTCAATCAGGAAAATACCCCATTAATACAGATCATCCTCCTCTAACTAACACTGATCAGACTCATCTGAGATATACAGTATAAAAGAGGGTCAACTTTTTTATATTTGCTCTTTCAAACCTTTCTGCTGTTTAATGCTAAATGAGAACACAATTACAGTACAGTACTACAAAACTCATGGGAGTGGTAAAACTAAACCAAAAGCAATGCATAATACTTACATTTTCGTTTTTCGTGGAAGATTTGCATCTTTGTTGTGTTTTTTTAGAGAGACTTCATAATGAACCAGTTCTGCAAACTTATTTTTAACACTGATTGGAAAATAGTTTGTCTCCAGGTTAATTTTCAGGCCTTTAGAGCCAACATCTGTCCTAGGTGGAGGCTTCGGATCTAAAAGCAAAGTACAGTACATTACATTTCAGTAATTAAATAATAATATGCATTTAAATCACACCAGCTAATTCATCTATTTACCTTATGATAGTGTCTGGCATTGCAACAGTTATGTGATGCTGTATTCATTAAAGAGATTTATCTACTTAATAAGAAAACCATAAAATTAAATGGAATACGTATAACTACAGTACATGCACTGGTTACAAATCATCTTAATTACGAAATTATCCAGTTTGTACATACCATTACTCAAATGACCTGACTACCGACTGCTGCGGTGCTTTTTGAAGATTAGTAGGGTCATTTCCTAATACCTGACCATTGTGGACTTGATCTCACCCTCCTCTGTATACATATATATACCTTGTTATGTGCTTCTCCTTAGTCTGTCCTCACCCCTGAAGATGTGAATTACACGAAAGCGCTTGGGAACTTCGAGTTTTCTTCTTTCCTTGTGGTTATCAGCATGCATATATATATATATATATATATATATATATATATATATATATATATATATATATATATATATATATATATATATATATATATATATATATATATATATATATATATATATATATATATATATATATATATATATATATATATATATATATATATATATATATATATATATATATATATATATATATATATATATATATATATATATATATATATATATATATATATATATATATATATATATATATATATATATATATATATATATATATATATATATATATATATATATATATATATATATATATATATATATATATATATATATATATATATATATATACAGTATATATATTTCATGTAAATCCACAATGAAAACGTGGATAAGATAAATCTTGATAAAATCACACGGGAAGATGGAAACAACGGAGTACCTTAGCTTTCGTCTTTATTCAAGACATCTTCAGAGGGGATTAGTGGACGTCATCATTATGACCTGACCTCATGTTTTTAGGTCACCCTGTATATTTAAGCCTCTCTCTGCCCCGGGCGGCACTTTTGGGGGGCGGCACTTTTGGGTCTGCTCATCACCCATATCTGCAGCTACAGGAGACGTTAATCCATCCCTTTGTATCGGCGGCAAGTTAATCCTCTTTACTGCTTTTGTTGCAAACTGTTTTCAGACAGAAGTAACTCAAAATTTAATTCTGAGGATGGATTCAACATATGGTGGAAACTGAATCCTTGAATGTCCGAGCACGAATCCAGTGCAGCTCACGTTCGGAATTTCACACAATGGAAGGAGTTGGAAATTAGGATTGCTCGTGGAGCAACAATTGGTAAAAAAGAACAAGAAGTTGTTGAAAGCCAAGTGAAAAAGTGGAAGGAAATCCTTTCAAGATTGCTTGATATTATTAGATTCCTAGCTAAACAGAATTTGGCTTTACGAGGCCACCGAGAAGGAATGAATTATGAGAGAAACGAGACTGAAGCAACGGAAAATAGAGGAAATTTTATAGAGCTAGTTGATTTGTTGGCGAAATATGATCCAGTGCTACGTGAACATCATCTAAGAATCCAGCTGGGAAACATGTTTGCTACTTCCTATCTGTCTCCTACTATTCAGAACGAGTTTATAGAAATTTTGGGAGAAAACGTAAGAAGCAAAGTCATCAAGCAAGTAAAAGAAGCAAAGTACTTTTCCATGATATTCGACAGCACTCCTGATATTTCACATAAGGATCAAACGAGCCAAGTTTTACGCTATGTTATGATCGATGGAGATAAAGTGAAGGTTGTGGAATCATTTGTCGATTTCATTGAAACAGAAGGTAAAACCGCCGAGAATATTTCAATGATGATTTTGGAAAAATTAGAGAAAGACGGAATTGATATTCAAAATTGTAGAGGGCAAGCATAAGATAATGCTGCGGTGATGGCTGGTGTTCATACTGGTGTTCAGAAACGTATCAAGGAAATTAATAAAAAAGCAGAATTTGTCGCTTGTACAAATCACTCGCTGAATTTGGCGGGGTTCATGCAGCTTCTGTTGCTGTGAATTCTGTTACCTTTTTTGGATGTGTGGAACGTTTGTTTGTATTTTTTTCTTCATCAACCCATCGCTGGGATGTTCTAACTTCAGTCACTGGTGAAAGTGTCAAGCGCATAATAGAAACTCGGTGGAGTGCGAGGGGAGAAGCTGTAAGTGTTGTAAAGAAACATTTCTCAAAAATCTTAAGTGCCCTAGAAAAGTTAACTGGTGAAGAAGAAAATACAGCTACCAGGGCAGATGCTGGTGTTCTACTTGGTGCGTTGCAATCATTTTCCTTTTTGTGCTTTCTTGGCCTGTGGGGACCCGTCCTTCTAGAAATTAACGACACACAGACTTACCTCCAAACCAAGGGCTTGAACATACAACAATGTGATATAAAACTCAGGGCATTAGAAACATTTCTAGTTGAAAACAGGGACAAGCTAGTGAGTAATGGAGTTAACTATGCCAAAGAAATTTGCAATGATCTGGGGATAGTCATGGAGCGTCAGCGTCGACCCAAAAAGAAGAAACAAATGTTTGGTGAAGGATCACGAGATGCTGAATTGCCATACGACATTGAATTGAGGAGAGAAATGTTTTCTTCGCTGGACAGAGTGATCCAAGAAATAACTTTGAGATTTCAACAGCTTCATGAACTTGCTGAGAAATATGCCTTCCTTACCCCATTGAATCTTTTGGATGATAAATATGAGTGTCAAATAGATCACGATCACGACGACATTGATAATGAGGAGTTTGTAGTGGAATTCTCCCCTACAAACGCTGTTTGTCGCTGCCTAGCCGACCCCACCAATTCCCCAGTGTATGCCTCGTGGTCTAGGTCAACCAGCGCCGCCATACACCACGGAGCGGGGGTCAACTGCTAAGCCACGCCTACCCCCGCTATTTAAGACCTGACCTCGTGGTGATCTCTCTCTTTCTACCTACACCAACCAGCCAGCAACACCTCCGCCTGCCTGGCGGTCCTCTCTCCCGCTGGCGAGCATGGCGACCCACAAGCTGTCCTTCTCTGAGCGTCCTCACCAACCAGCTCTCTCTACATCACGCTTGTAACCATGTTGCCTTCCCAGCACCAAGCTGCATTGTACATCCAATACAACATGTATATAGAGAGCACATTGTGAGTTTCCTTTCTCCAACCCATCCTGAGTGTGAACCAAACATCTTGAACCCCACAAATGGTGACTCCCGGAGATTCGCACTCACACAGGATGGAGGAGAAACTGATCACGCTCCCAGTCTTCAAGCAACATGGAAGACTGGCTTATCCACCCAGAAGCAGCTCTCATCGGCTCTACAGCTACTGTCTCTACACCGCAGGTTAGACACCCTAGAGCAGCTCTGCTACTCTAAGCAGACACCAGCTCCTCTTCCTGCCCTAAGCACCACGTCCTACCGACCCCAACACACCCGTCCTGCCTCAGACGCCGACCCCGGCCCAGCAGTAACCCCTGCCGCCCTTGATGCGGCCTCTGTTCCTGAGTGCGGACACACACACCCCTCTTTTCTCCCCCAGGTACTCCCTGCTAATGTCCTGCACCCTGCTGCTGTCGTGGACCCAGCTGCTGTCACGAGCCCTCATCCGCTGCTGCTGACACAGCCCCTGTTCCTGAACCAGGCCCACACACCCCAGCAGGCGCATCTGGCGACTCTGTACCTGCCGTGAGGGAAGCACAAAATTCATCGCCTCCACACACCCTTATTCTCCCTCTCTACTCCCACAGATATTGTGTATCTAGACAGTTGTCCCCAGCGACCGGCTCATCCACGCCATCGCCGTTGTCTCACATGAGGCACGCACCGCCGTTCTGCCTCACATGTGCTATGCAACCCTGCAGACAACAAGTCTCCTACACAGCCTGGAGGGAAGGGGGAGTATTGTAGTGGAATTCTCCCCTACAAACGCTGTTTGTCGCTGCCTAGCCGACACCACCAATTCCCCAGTGTATGCCTCGTGGTCTAGGTCAACCAGCGCCGCCATACACCACGGAGCGGGGGTCAACTGCTAAGCCACGCCTACCCCCGCTATTTAAGACCTGACCTGGCCTTCGTGCCCCCCCCCCCACCCTCATCAAGTGATGTGCAACCAGAAGACTTAGGCAACGAAATCGGCATCCGATTCTACTCAGTTAACACACCACCTACAATAACAAATGACAGACTTCTCCAGGAAATAAAGGAAGGCACAGTAAAAGTTACCTACGAAGATGATAGGGTAGAAGAATCCTACATAGACCAACTGATAAATGCAGGACTTATTAACACCAAATACAATAGAATTGAAAGAGTAGATTCAATTAAATTTAAGAAAATCAGAACGGGATTGAAGGAGGAAACGAGTAGACACTCGCCAGGAGATATATGAGCCAGCAGACACCCTACACCAAGTTCTCGGGACCCACGACTACTCAAAACAAATCATTAAAGATAATCCAGCACAACGTCCTAGCCTGGAATTCGGCAAGGAAATCAGAACTCGCCAACATATACAGCACATTAGACCCTGACATCATTCTTATCAACGCACATGGTAGGAAAAATAGTGAAAAAATCAAGATCTTTAACTACCATGTACATCAAATGAACATACACGACGAACCACATGATGGCATAGCAATTGCCATAAAACGCAACATACAATATAAAATCATTGACAACTTTCAAAGTAACTTTCTGGCAGCCGAAGTAAATACAACAAGAGGGCCAATAACCATCGGAACTTCATATTTAACATTCAGAAGACCAATATTTCCTACAGGGGACATCTTAAAACTAATGAGGCAAAACAATCCAGCATACTTCATAGGAGACCTCAATGCAAAACACACAACCTTAGGAAACAATGTCAGAAACCCAGGAGGAAAAATCCTCCATGCTCTCATCGATCACGGGACAATAACACACCTCGGGCCCGACTTCGCAACTTACATATCAGCCGGCAACACTGGGAAACCAGACATTGTTTTAACCAATAGACATCACCATCTAAACGTACATCTAAAAGCTGGACCCACAACAACCAGTGATCATCTACCCATAATTGCAACTTTATCCACATCCCCGATACAAATCCCATCAATCCCAAGATTTTCACTCAATAAAGCAAATTGGGAAAAATTTAAATCGGAACTTAGCAACAACGAACCAACACTCCTACACAACAAAGACACAACAGAGATTGATAATTCACTGGATACATGGTACAAAGAA